TCCAGAGCACCATACACCAACCTGGAACACTCTCGCACGCACGTCCCAAGTTCAATATCCTCAATCAAAGCCTCAACACCGATGTCATTTTGAGGACATCTTGATCACATCCATGTAAATGTTTGCCAAGTTGTGCTACGTCCCGGAGGTGATCTCTGCCACCAGCCAGCTACATCGAGAGATTCACCTCTCACTGTCTCGAACCGCCATCATGTCCACAACCCGACATCAAGCAGCTGATGCTCGACTCCTGCACTATCGCTGATGTTGATGCCTGAATGTCCATTCCTGGGTGCGTTGCTGTCACAATTTTGAACCATGTCGGCTATTTTATATTGGGTGCACGATTTCCAGACGTTGATAGCCGGACAGGCTGTCGCTCCATAATGATGACATGGATCTTGCTGCTGGACTCGATCGCACGCATGCAGGAAGTGGGATGAGCCCATGAGCACTTTATTGCTGATACTACTTGGAACAAGATAACAAGATGCCAAGACGCAGTAGAAGGAGCTGAACAACAAGCAGGAGGTTATAAAAGAGAGGGGAAGTGAAAACACTACGAGCAGTAGAGTCAGGACACCCATGAATGATGCTAACTCCCAGAGAAGGACCTCTGGTGATTCATACCAGAGTCCGATATAGAAATTGTGAGGAGGAGTGCACAAGCGAGCCAACAATGTACGTATGTGATGCACTGCTGCACAAAAAACCCAGGCAATTTGCCTTCAGAGGAGAGTGTCTGCATCAATATTACGTAAACATTACCATAACAAGAAAGAATTTAAAATTGCGTACAAGCAACCCCCAGGCCCAAATGGAAAAGACGTTCAAGTTTATACTGGTTAAGCAAGCCGGTGATAAAACCTATATGAATTGCATTAAAAAAATGAGGTATACAAGCATATAGGCACGTACAAGAAGCAGCGAGATATAACCCAACTACACTAGCTGGGAGTGCATCAGTCCTCGGTTTTTGTCGACATGTCTCTTTGAGATTCGGATGGGAAAGGAGTACTCGTTAAAAAATCAATTGTTTTCACATTTTCTTATATACCAGCAGGCATACTTTATCAACATATGACTAATCTTAATTAATAGAACACTTCTCGATCGAGCTTCTTCCTTAGTATCTCCGCACATCGTATCGCCGAGAATTCAGGACCACGCGTATGATGAATGTTAGCATCTGGTTCTATCGTGATCATATCGTACGGGACCCTAATAGCCGGTTCAAGCTCTAGCTGTGCCTCTCTGGCGGCGAGAGAGAATATTGCAATCGTGTCACCCTCTGAATGAGGGTCATTTCTGTTCGACGTGTAGATGAATGTTTCAAGGAAGGATGCGTTGGGTTCGGGTAGCAGAATTTCCGCTGCCAACATGGTATCCGGTATCGGTAATGCAGACAGTGTGAACAGAGGTAAGACGAGTAGGGGGCACCGGAAGCAGCGGGAAGGTATGTACAGCTGCAAGCTTTGAGGTGAGTTCCAGTAGCGTATAAAGGGTATTTCCTGTTATGACAATCAACAAGGTTTTAAGAGTAGAGGTTAGTGACACCTCGAGCTGCGATATGTCGTGGGCCACCGCCTGCTTCAAAGTCTATGTGATCGCGAATGGAATGAGGGATTTATCGAACGGATGAGATGCGATCCATGACGGATGGTGGCCAACGATTGTTCGAGCTAGAAGGTTAAGAGTCGGAGATCCTGTCGACGGTACTGGATCAAAGAACAATATTACACAGGCCTCCTGAGGCGTAGCATGAACGTGCAGCATTCCATGTTAGGCGGCGGCGGAATTGATTGGCATGGCCGTTCAAACATCGAGCGGAGTTTAAACACCGGCCATTTTCCTGCGAGCAGCTATATTGGTGATGAAGACCTGGAGAAGCAGCGCTTCTAGAGTCACTAATGAAAACATACCTTTGAATTGGCGTCATCATTACCGACCTGCTTCCAGGTTAACATTGATGTATCACACTCCTGTATTCAAGGCGATAGCACGTCAGGAGAAGGCGGGTGTCCACGCGGGTAAATTCAAGTCGTTGACCCCAACACATTCCTTCGTGTCCGAATTGAGTTTGCTATTTGCCATGGTGGCAAGAAGGACACGCCTTTGGTCGTCTATTTTCCGATCAACAGTGTCTACAGTAGCAAGTCACGGAACACAATCTGGTCCTTCGTTCGTCTCCGCAAATAGATACAGCGTGTCTCTTCGGTTCTGGAGCTTCAAGGACGGTCCGCGCTAACGCCAAACCCTGACAACTATTGAATGTAGTTGCATACGCAAGTCTGAGTGAAAATTGTCTGTCCACGACGAGCGGTTTGGATGGAACGAAAAGTTTATGCGTGGGATGCAGTGGCTTTCAAACGTATTGAGAAGTTGGACTTCAACGAATTGACGATGCAGTGCAGCGTGATGGACGTAATTGCACCCGATCCCGGCTCTCATGCTTAATATATACATAGATAGGACGGGCCGGCCTATTCCGAAAAGCCAATCGTGCAGGCACAGAAGTCCGAGCCAGACAGAAGAAGTTCTGTCTTACGTTACGTTGCACGTAACTTCAAGTTTTCTGGAGCTTTTGCAATTGGGAGCCGAAGTGTTTTGGAAGGGTAACGGGGACCTGCGCCAGCCGGCCGTCATATGACTGTACAGCCCTACCGTCGAACATCTCGAATGCATCGCGGCATATGGTACGGTACGGGTAGTACCTGTAAGCCTACCTCAAACTATACGGTTACGGTGAACAACCCTAGCCGACTCCGATTCCTGGCTCGACTGAGTTGAAACTAGTAGACTCGTGAGTCGTCACAAGTCTAACCGCTGACCGCTATAGCTTATTTCCTTCTAACATGTTGCTTGTAGATTCATTTTGATTTAAATACGAGATGTCTTACTCTTATCCGATCATTCGATCCACACACCCGCTCTTGAATCATTTGCCACTAGACCATGTTGACAATCACCAACATTAACTATCTGGACCTACTATGCCTTACCGGTGTTACAATTGGAGTCTATCTGGTAAAGCAGGTGGTCATCAAGAAGAATCCTGCACCATACCCACCTGGTCCCCGGGGGTGGCCTCTCATTGGCAATATTTTAGATATGCCTCACATCAAGCCCTGGCTTACATTTAGTGTGTGGGGTCAGAAGTATGGTCAGTACCTCCCCTTTCCAACCTGAAAGTCATTTTCAAACCTCTTTTCTTCAGGTGATATCACGCATATCAGGGTTCTGGGTCGCCACATCATTGTGCTGAACTCTGTCAAGACCGCAATGGAAATGATGGACAAAAAAAGCATTGTGTACTCTGACCGTCCTGTTCTTCCTATGTGTGGCGAACTTGTTGGCTGGAAGGATTCTTTGCCCTTCCTTCCTTATGGTGACCCTTTTCGCCAGCAACGCAAGAAATTACATCGCATCATCGGCAGTCGTGCTGCAGTGAGCGTATACAATGAGGTTGTGGAGGTTGAGACTCGTCGATTCCTGCAGCGTGTGCTTGCAAAATCCGATCGACTGCAGGAGCATGTCCGACAGTATGCATTATTTATCCTCGCAGTGACACAATCTTAAATTTTCACTATAGCACTGTTGGCGCTATCATTCTGCGCATCTCTCATGGTTACGAAGTGAAAGAGAAAAATGATCCCTTTGTTGACCTTGCAGACCGCGTTACAAGCCATGTCTCGCAGGCCACAGCTCCCGGTGCCTTTATGGTTGATATTTTACCATTTTGTAAGCTATATTATTCTGACGTTTTCATCGACTTTTGATGACCTGATAATTCTAGTGGCAAAGGTCCCCGCGTGGTTCCCCGGGGCTGGCTTCAAGCGCATAGCACGTGAATGGCATGAGACCCTCGAAGAGATGGTTTCTGCACCCCACAAGCTCGTCAAGGACCAGATGGTGACCAATTTGCAGTATTGTAATTATACATAGAAGTTCAATTTTTACAGGTTGCTGGCATCGCCCCTGTGTCTTTTACCTCGAATCTTTTGGAAGGCGGCGATCTGTCTGCGGAGGAGGAACACGTCGTGAAATGGTCTGCTTTTTCCATAAACGTTGGTGGTACCGACACGGTTCGTCCTTCTCTACAACATCTTCTGAGAGTACCAAACCTATTTCCTCAGAGTGTTTCCGCAATATACTCGCTTTTTCTAGCTATGACACTTTTCCCTGATGTGCAGAAGAAAGCTCAGGCTGAAATAGATGCGGTTGTTGGTCCTGACCGTCTTCCCTCCTTCGCCGATCGCGACTCCCTCCCTTATACTGAGGCTCTTGTCAAAGAAGTCCTGCGCTGGAACGTTATCCTTTCCACTGGTATGTGAATATCGATCATAACATTATTTATTTACCGACTGGCAATGGGTATCTCAATGACAGGTTTTCCTCACTGTGTGGCTGAAGATGATATCCATAACGGGTACTATATTCCAAAAGGCTCCTTAGTACTACCTAACATTTGGTTAGTGCTCCTCTTCGATTGATGAACAACAATACTCATAATTGCGACAGGTTGATGCTCAACGATCCACAGACATATACTAACCCCTCTCAATTCAATCCTGAACGCTTCTTGGCTAAGGATGGAAATGACCCTGAGATGGATCCTCGTACGGTGTGTTTTGGCTTCGGTAGACGGTAAGCACGAAATTGATTCTGAATCTGATTGAAAAGCTAACTTTCTGCTCCGCAGTATTTGCCCAGGTATATCCAACTCGCATCAATTAACTAACAATATTCTGACATCTACTTTCTTTTGATGTACAGGCCTCCACCTTGCTGATGCTTCCGTTTGGATATCTGCTGCAATGTCACTAGCCGTATTCGATATCTCCAAGGTTGTTGAGAATGGTGTTGAGATCACCCCCGAGGTTGAACCCTTACCAGGTACGGTCAGGTATGTCGCACATCTTGTCGTGTCTGGGGCAGGTCTGGATTGACACGCTTCAAGCCATCCCAAACCGTTCAGGTGTTCCATCAAGCCTCGCTCTGCAACTGCCCTCGAGCTTATTGGACAAGATGCTAACTACTAAGCTCACGATGGTGATACCGGAGAAATACACGTGAATATGAATACTTGGCATGCGTCGTAATTTGTATGTTACACTCAAGAGTTGTGCAATATGATTTTTTAGAGTTCGCACCGGAAATCATTTGCTTCTGCGGAACTTTTGTGAGGACGAACGAGTCTATGTCATATACCAGCCGGTATTAGCATGGAGTACTGATTATGTGGCATTCTAGGAACGTTTATATGAGAGGAGAGTTGACTTTGAGTGAACTTAGGAATCGAGAGACGAGGAAACGTTTTCTTAATGCGAGCTCTTACGACGCGAGGAGTGGGTATGAATCACATCCGGGTCGTGGGCTGCCCGTTCCAGGTCTAGATGTTCTGCACCGGCTATGATGTCTGTTACGTCCGCTCCCGGGGCGAATAGGGGCTGGTGCGAGGATAACAGGGAGCTAAGTGTCATTCAAAATTTGCTGTGCTATGGCACACCCACCTGGGTATAATGCATACAGATAATTATAACACTGTCCTGGCGTCTATCGTGAGTGGGACTCCAGATCAATTGGCTCGGCTAACATCTCTCACCTGCTGTCTTTGCGAGTCGCTAGGTCGCAGTCTGATGCTCCAAGAAACAGAAACGCGAAATGATATTGCTGTTACCATTGTTCTACAAGAGTATTGTGTCTACGACCGAGGCAGATATAGTTCTGAGCAGTTTGGGCGAAGGCACGCAGCGCCTCCAGGTCCAGAGCTGCGAGGGTGGGAGGGAAAAGGAAATCATCGCGGATCTCCTGAGTCAGGGAATGTGTGCAGTCTGGACCACTGGAGGGGAAGAGCGGTGAGCGAGATCGAGTGTTTCGAATGAGATTTCGCGTGTTTGAAAAGGGAGCGGCGGGTGGGGGAAAAGAAGGAGCACGTCGTTGAAGACGACTGATACGAGAGGAGGCGTTGTCGCAGTACGAAGGCTTTGTAGCGCTGTGTGGGCGGGCCGCCGCCGCCGCCGCCGCCACCGAAGTTACTATTACCAAACCTGAATTTGAAATTATCTCACAACTCAGTCCTACACCAGTACTTGGTACACACTCAGGCTGCCTCTTCAGGTACCTGACACAGATGTGGAATATACTCCATTTCGAACTCTCAGTTCACCGGCCGCATCAGTATCGCAGGAGGAACGAAGCAAGCGTAGGCAAGAGAAGTTCGACGGCCTCGTCACATGGTATCTTGATGCTATCGTACAATCCTTTCCGGTCTTATTTCAGAACTCTCTTCTTCTCTTTGGGATTGCTCTTGGCACCAATTTGTGGTACGAGCAGGCGAGCATCGCCTGGGTCGTCATCGGAATGACGGTCTTCGGATTTCTGTTTCATTCCCTGACTGTGATGGCGTGTTTGGTATCTCCCGCTTGTCCATTTCAGACACCGGTATCAACGTTATTACACGTGTTGCGCATCGACAGTATGATCATTTTTCCGAATTCTGGTGGTCGCCCCGGTCTGAATCAACATTGCAGGTGCTCTGAACCTGGGATTCAAAGGAGCTTTCTGTTATGTCCAGTGGTTCATGACGTCACTGCAAGGTGAGTTATGTCTTCTTTCATGTGCACAGGTTTTGATCGTTTCATGTCAGGAGTGCTGGGACGACTGCTTAGTATTATCAGATCGGGATGGACCCGATTGTCTGAAGTATTTAGAGGTGACGGTCTTATCTACTATTACAAAGATACTTGGAGCTCATTCGCTCCCTAGGCCCTGTGCATGCGGTAGGTATATTCACACGCCGATCTCTTCAGCAGTTAATCACTAGGCTTCATAACCGGCTGTGTTCTTTGGTTCTGCGTTCTTCAACAAAGGTGGTAAACTCAGAGGCACAACCACTCGGCCAGGATCTGGATGTTTTGGCTGAGAATAATAACATCCTTAACCTCGACCTCCCTGACATACCCACCAGCGATCTCGAAGCGCCTAGTGTCAAGTGGCTACTCGAGACGTCTACGGATCCTGAAGTATTTCTCGCTGCTGCCCGTCTTGTCCCGCAGGTCGAATGGCCCCTGGATGTTGATGTTTCAGACATGCTGCATCAACTATTTGATATTCTCAGGAGCTGCGTCGACATTCAAGGATACATCATACCATCATTGAAGGAGAAGGCCTCGGCATGTGCAATGGCTCTGATTCATTTATACTATGGATGTGTTCTTCAGGCATATCCTGACGATGGCGATTTTATTGTCCACGGGAGACCAGACTTTGATGTGCTTCTTGACATTTTCCCAGGCATGTACACAGCGGACCGGACGGTGTGTAGCACGACTATGAACTTTTGTCAACCAGATGGCAATACGTGGCATATTTCTTGGTCAGAGGTTTGCCCTGACTCCGTCCCTGAGTGGCTGTCACATGTTCTTCCTTATCACTTTGTTACTGGGCGAGTGAATGAAGACATAGAAAACCTCGCGATAAAAGTGATGTCAAAATTGCTATCATCCCCATCTCCATCCTCCCTGTCAGATCAGATTCTAGCCAATTGCATTATTCTTGCTTGCGTCATGGTCGGGGCTCAGGTTGACAAGAAGGCCATTGTTCGGATTGATAAAAGGTGCCATCGGCTCATTTTGTAGTCTATCTGCCATGATTAACAAAGAGATCGTGTAGCTCTGCTCTGCCTCTACTCAGCGAGTCTCTTTTGGTGCAGTTCCAAAAGGCTCTCTGGGCATGGGATGGAGGCGAGCTCGACAATGATAGGACAGGAGTCGTACGCCGAACATGGAAGCTGCTTGATATTATTTGTCGAATCGTCGAGCTTGCTAGATATTCATATCGTCCTTTATTCCACACCATGCGGAACCTGGACGTATGCAAGAAGATTTATTCACGAGCGAGATCATCCGAACAAAACGATGCCTCGGCTTTGTTGGCAGCTCTGCGAAATGCACTGCACTTCACGCTTGCTGCTGCCAGCATTTCTCGGGACCCTGCCCAGGTATGGAATCGGCTTTTTGGGGAAGCCCTATCCTACTCGCCAGAGGATATCGACTGGATAGTGGACTACTTTGACTTCATATATTACGACGACCACGAAGCGGCATATGACGTCCTTTTGCTACTGGGTAGTATGGGGGTGTGCTGCAGCCCTGCTAAACAACATCTGTTCATCGAGAGGCTCATCGCCTGTATGGATAGTAATATGCCTCTCCATTTACGCCATGCTGCTCTTCGCGCTGCTCACAGTGCCCAAGAACAAATTGCCTCAATCGATGCCATCGATGATGCGAGGCTACGGGACACAGTTTTGACCAAGCTCTCCCCTGCTATTTTATCCGTGCTTTGTCCGCACCCAGTTACAACACCCACCAATGATGATCTCAACCTCTTTTCCAATTATGACCGCGACTTGTGCTATCTCGAACTGGTCTGTGCCCTCGCGAGGAATCCCGACTGGCACCCCCATTTGTCTGGGGATTGCCATATTGATCGGTGCATCAGCATGATTCCAAGGTACTGCAATTCCGAATCACCCACACAGCATGCCTTTTACATAGCTTGTATCCTCCTCCAAATCATACCTGAACAGACATCGATCACAACGCTCGATTCTGTTGCAAAGCAGCAGTGGCGGGACGTGATGAGAAGCGCATGGGATGATCCTCCATATACCATTAACAACGCGTGCTGTTTCAAGCCCCTTCTTGTCCTTGTGGATGGCACAAAGAAGTATATGCAGATTGCTTCGAAATCTGATCTCGACCAGCTCATTAGAAATGTGGATGAGTTTGTCGAAACGTTGGAGCGGAACATGCAAGAGGAGATGGGACTGGAGATACAAGATTCAGAGCAGGTAGAGGGGATCATCATTGCTGCGAAGGAGTTGAGGACTGCAGCCAGCAAGATGTTGGAGAGATTTGGTCGGTAATTGTTAGTTCTCTAACCATGACTTGCATGCTGCGTTAGAGTCTTGGAATAGAGTAAGTTACGGGCAGTATATGCACGGAAGTGGGGAGTCTCAATGAAATCAATACTGAACCATCAGCCATCTCTGACTTGGTAGATGCTTGCAAAGCGTGAGGAACAATGGGCATGAGATGCAAATATCTGGGAAACCGGCATCTAAATGTCGACTGGGAAGGGAAGTTGTTCCACGGGGACAACATTAGACAAGGTTCTGCGCTCAGCTGCCCCGGTCACATCCATTCGTCGATATGCGCACGAAGACAAAGATGGGGTGACAGATCACAATCGCCTGTTTTTGGCAGCGGCCGTTACAATTAACCAAGTCGTAGCCCCAATTTAAAAGTTCGAGCACTAGTAATTGGTAGTATTATGGTGTATGTACATCCCAACTAGACCACATGGCACTGATGAGCCATTATTATTCACGATTAACACAACTCTCGGAGACACATTAAATTAGCAGAATAAGTGTTCCCAAATCAGAGATAGTATCTGTCACCTGTAAAAAGGGTTCATGGCAAGCTGTGATCATATGCGTTTTCTTACCGATTTGACCCATGCCAGGCTCTACGATCCAGACTCTCCTCCCGTCCCCTTCGCTCTGGCCCTCGCCTTTTTCATTGTAATGTTCAAGCCATGCTTCACGGAGACCTTCATCGACGGCACCAGTCACAATCTTGACCTCCGGAAAGGCCCGCTGAAGTACAGTGACACCACCAGTGCGGGCAATGAGGAAAGTTACAAAGATGATATGGTCTTGCTGGACTCCATGATCTAATAGTGTCCGAATCGCCATGAATGCTGAGGCAGCGGTGCCTATTTGAGCATCTAGCAAAAATACCCATGCATCGACGGCTAGATGTCGTTCTCGCAGGCATTTGGGAAGCATTACATGTAGAAGTAGTGGCTCTCCAGTATTAGCGTCGGATTGCACCAGAAGGGAGCCAATTGCAACGTCACTAAGAACGCGCTGCAATCCCTTCGTTAGAGGTCCACCTCTGGACCGATTGATTAGTGCAGAAATTGGTTGAACCACTGAAACGTACGAGCGTATGATGGAGACACCGCAGATGTTCTAGACAGCTCTTAAGCCAGACACTCAAATTCTCAGCGAAATGATCTACCTTGACGTCAAGTTCCTTGCCGGTGCAATCTAGTCCTATTGGTGTCGTGACCGTCTTAGGTCTGTGAGGAAGATGTTCCATCGCTTTCTCGATCAAGAATGTTGCCAGTCGGTCTACGAAGAATATAAAGTCCTGGCGGTTCGATGCCTCATCACGAAGAATGGTATATATACCCTTCACCCAGAAGCATAAGCAACGACTCTCATTGAGGGTGGGGGACAGACCTTTAACTGTGGTGTTTGCGGGAGCACTATAAGGTTCTTGGACACCGGGTTACCGTCTGACGTACTCAAGCAACACCCAACTGATTGAGAAACCATGTGTTTCCGAAAGTGTCTCGCGCGTTCTGTCATTTGACGTCGAATGTGGGTCGTTATCAAATCAATGGCAACAGCGTTGTTTGACCCCGGAACGACCTGAAAACAATGGTACGTCGAAACAATTGAAACAACACGTCTACTCACAATGTCTGCATGGCGAGCGGTTGGCAAAACGAAGTTATCAAACGCGGGCTTGACATAGCGAAGATATCTAGGCGTGAGCGATGGTTACCATGACACATAATCCTGGCAGAGAAGAATACGTACTGCTCGATGACCCCATCAACACTTCTTCCACGTTCCTTGACGTCCCGTTGTATTCTCCGGGCGAGCATCAAATCTGAGTCACATTGCACAAACACCTGTTTAACGGTGAGACAATATACAACTTGCTGAATGATGGGGTACCTTGAGATCATATAAAGAGCGTAAGTCTGGATGGTGCAAAGCCATTATACCTTCCGCTGAAACATGTGTTTGGCATCAGCATCCAGGATCGTGACAGGAAGGAGTCAGACACCGACTTATTATGATAGCTGCACCATACAAATACTTCGCTTCGCCTAACCGCTGATGTTCGGCAAACGAGTAAACGGGAATATTGGTCTGTCGACACGCCTTCAAGTCCGCGAGGCACTAGGAAAGATTCGGTAAAGAATTTAGACATAAATGAACGTACGGACAGCAGCAAACATAGGCATGTCAATGGCATCCGGGTGGTCAAAGTCGAATCGATTCGCATGCGCCAGCGCAACCTCTTCTGCGGTATGTCGCTTGTAAAAGCTGTCCTAAGCAGTGGACACTGTCACCTGTGAACTCTCTTGATATTTTTTGTATTACTGACCTGGGAGAGGATAACGACAGTCGGTACTGAGCCCAATGAACGAACGATTTGCTGAGCAACATGTGTCTGCCATCGCCTAATTCATCTTTCCGAACTTCTCTCGGCTTGCATTCTCACCTTCCCACTTGCCGATCCACCTGGATCCATTTGTCAGGTTGACAAAATGCAAGACTGCACAATACGTAGTCACACTCACCAGCTATGCCGATCACGAACGCGTCGGAAATGGGTAGGCCGTTTTCCCCGTACCTGTCAGTGACACGTATGTGAGGCATTGAACGACAACAAAAAGCCAGTACGAAAAGTTACCAAGGAGGTCTTCCGTGAGACTTCAAGAGGATGTTCTTCTTCGACTGGTGCGATTCCAAAGAGTGTTGACTTTCGTCATCGAAAAACTGATGAGAGTAATCTTCTGCAAGCATCGCAGTGCACGGGACAAGTTGCAAGATAATCGATCGACGGGGAACCAGAAGGCAGGGAACTGGGTGTATTTAAGGTGTTCGGCTATGATGGGCCAGTCTACAGTACGTGATGCATTCTGAATCTGTCCTGTTACTGTATGCAACCCCGGGCCTGATTCAGAATCCGAGGCACTCTTATTCAGGTTTAACAGCACCCTTATGATCAACCTGAATCAAGCTGTCTTCCTTCTGCTAATACAATAGTCCAGGCCCAACCACGGAATATTAAAGCCGCTATAAAGCTTGGCACAGTCCGCATGGCAGAAGCTGCTAATGATACACGTTCTAACCGTTGCAATTGTCATTGAAAACACATTCATTTCCAAACTGCTGAGAATTTCCGCCACGATGTCGCGTATCGGAGCCTCTTCCTGAGGAATCTTGATGCCTTTACTAAACTTTACTAGATAGCTTCGATTCGTGGACACGATTCGGGATAACGAGCAGTAGTTTTTACGCTAAGCCTATGTTCACACGCATCAGTACGTATCATAACCTGCATCGAGGTCGCCACGATATCACTTGCTGCCTTGACGTTGAGTCTCAAGGTACTAGATTGCCAATTGTTGATGGACCTCTCCAGATACTCATAATCGCAGTCAACAAGATCTTGTCCTTGCCGGTGTTAATGCCAAGTTGCTCGACAACTTTGCGAGCAGCGGAATAAACTGCCCAGCCTGAACCATTATCATACACTGGATATGACAGTCAACAAGCCATGTGACTAGTGAATAGATACCAACTCACTGTTGAAGGCAAGAAGAGCCGCGGGGAAAACGAGGCGAATGCGAGTATTATGCTCGAAGGAGTTCACCAGCCGAAATCAGGTCCACGTGTGATTGTGCCTATCGAGTACAAAAACACACTGTTGAGGATTGGCCTTCATCAAGTAAAGTTGTTAACGATATACGTTCTGACTGCTACAAGAAGGCGTCATCAGTACCTCATCCCTCGTCATCCTGTTTGTCGATGAGAAAATTTGCCACGGTATCGAGCATCTCTTGCTCAGGAATCTTGCGCCGAGCCCCACCGCCCATTAGCCCATCCCTATGAAGGCCACGATCTCCCACCCAGATGGGTAAAGGCGTAACCGAAGAGACACCAGGAGCTGCCTGTTTAACACCACGACTACTCCTGCTTGTCAATGTTGTGTGACAAGAGTAGCAAAGGAAATCGGTCAGAGCAAGTAATGGTGGCACTTGGGATGGGGTATTCGTGTCGAGATTGCTTCTGCATGGTAATGGGATGTGGGCCAAGTCTGCAGCAAGTTTGTCGTCTGAGTATGATCTTATTGATATACGACCCTTCCACTCCTGTATGGCAGATTGCATCGGCCTGACAGATATCTTAGTCACCTGAACCGAATGAAATGTAGTCAATAAGCCTCACCGCTTACACAACCTGCATTGCCCGCTCGGTGCATCCTTGGGCTCCAGTTTTTCACAGGTCCGAGCGATGGTCGACACAGTCGAAGGATAGTCTTTCTCGAGCCCGACTACAAAATCTGGGGGAAAAGTCAGCCCTGTGTCTTGCACGCGAAAGCTCTCGTACTCTTGGTCAAGGCTGCTATTCCTAATATCGCACGCCTCTGCTTGTCTCGACCGATTACAGATACATTGTTCCACCACGAATATACAGCACATTCTTTTGCAGTAACGTCTCTGAGAGGTCGGATGACCCTGAGCACATTACTAGGCTTCGAACCAGAAGCAGCAACGGGCGCCCATTCCTCCTGTAGTTCCTCACGGATTGCGTACCCTCCACCTTGTGAAATAGCTGATAAAAGAGAGATGGAGAGCGACGTGAGAGATGATCCAAAGAGTAAATGCGAGGAACCTCCGGAGTGGGCTGTGTGCAGGATAAGTACACGGGTGAGATTCTGTAAGGCACTGGAAATTGCAGTTTGCGTGGGCAGTGATGATAAATATAACCGTGTAGCTTCTACTGGCGTTAGACCAGTCACTTTGGAAGCGACATGGAGTCCTGACAACACAAAGTTCAGTATACTGAATAGATGTATTGTTGGAGTTCTACCATCTGTAATCAGGCCTTCCTTGCTGAGTTCCAGCCAGACTTGTGGGGTGCTGTTTGATCCGGAAACTTTGGTCCACCAAG